GCTTGCCAGCTGCAACAATCGGCCCTCAAATGGGGCTTTCTTCTGGATCGGTACTTGGATAGACTGGCGTTTGCGGTGTCAGTTTTCCATGCATTCGGGCACGGCTGGGCGCGCCAATGCATATTCCATCCTCGGAAGCGGAAGGGATTCGGTTTGACGAACGGTGAAGGCTGCGAGTGCTTCTGGCATTCAATCAGCCATCTCATCGCACACTTGCACATTTCAGGGGTATGTTATAGGTATTGTTTTAGACACTTAATGAGCTAACACGACATTTGAAGTACCACCATCGACTCTATACGCTCGACACGCAGATCAAACATCTGGACGAAGACAACCTCTTCAAGCTAGCGGAATGGAACCAGCGCTGCGGGCTAGTAAGCCTGGAGAAACGTCGGGAAGCCACCGAGGCGCTGGCGATGATAAGGTGTGAAATTGAACACACCTGAAATGATCAATTTTGCGACCTTTCAGTTGGAAACAGCTGATAAAACCAGTCAATAGGGCTACATAGAGTACTAGTCTACTCCCAGGACTGAGTGCTAGGCTGTTGGACGCGTTTAACCACCAGTTTCATCACCACTTTTATCATACTGGTCATGGAGATACCCTTACAAGCTGTACACTCTGTGCAGTGAGTTTGAGGATTTCTGTGGACGCTAGGCCATTATCAAATACATGGGACGTTGGAAGGACTTTATGAATGGCTACAGAACTCAGGGACATATCATCTATGAAATTAAAAAGTCATATTGATGATAGTTGCTATATTAGGAACCTAGTGGTTGAACTTAATGATTTCTGGATCGTTCCAGAACCTGTTCATATCACAATCGGACATGGAAGATGCCAGACAATGCCTAGAACCATGTGTCTCAGGTCTAGAATGCCTTGGACGCACTTGGCAAAGTCTAGATGGCTGCAGAAACAGGCTGTGCTTGGAAACAATTAAAAAGGCTGTACATTTCCCTTGGGGAAAATGGTTATTTCCTCGGAAATTGCATCGGAGGGTTACTAGGACCGATCCATATGACTCGTGGGCGCCGTTTTGTCGGTCTCACACGGAGTTTTAACCCCAGAAAAGCGGTTTTCTTCTCACCTACTCTATACCCTTTTAGACAAGTAACATGTATTTAAGCTGGCATGTAAATTAGGTACAGACAGTGAATCCCACTCCCACTTGTTGGCACCAGCTATTGAGTGTAGTGATCTGGAATCGCCTTGTGCTTGAGCCAATCCTCCTCTTCCTACCTTCACAAAAAGTCCAACAGTGGTTCTTGTGGTTAGTAACTGGGATAATCTCATTGGATATACTTGGACATATCAATAAATTGTTTTTTGCCGTTCTACTTGCACTATAAGTGTTGTCAATTGGATAAGGTTGTCTGAGGGATCTTTACTTGTTGAGATTGAGGGTTGATACGCCTAACCCACTGCCCCGAACACACATAACAAAGCATTTGAGTTGTTGGTGGTTGAGATTGGATATATAGGAGCTTGACTTTGTCTTGCTCTTGTATTTGATTTCACTGCTACACTTAGGTGTAGTGTTTCAGCAAAGTGCGGCCACTCGAGGGAATACTTGAAGGTTCAGTGGCACGACCAGGTTCAAACACAGACGAAGCCCCTTGCACGTAAGTTTAATGTTTTTCTTAGCTGCTTTGAACGTCGCTGAATAGCATACCAACTCCGACAGGACGGTCTAAAACTCACGGACAAAAGACCGTAGCCGCGGTCTTGGCCTTGCGTCAGGCGAACGAGATTCGCAAGACGCGGGTGCGGGATTGCGAAGCGGCGGCCCTCGATGCGCTCGACGGGGACAATGCCGACGTTATAGTCCAGACAAAGCTGGCACTGGACAAGGCCCGAACAGCTCGCACGAAGGTTCAGCATCAACTCAGACAGAAAGAGGCGGCGTTGGGTGTGAGCGAAACGCAGGAGCTCACCAGGATGGCGAAGAACAAGTACTTCGAGCTCCGCATGAATGCGCGCGCACTGAAGCGGAGACTGCGCGACCTCTTACAGGCAAGGAAGTTCGAGCGGGATCGGATTGAGCGAACATCGAGGCGTCAGCATGGGGAAGGTAACTCGAAGGATTTGGATTTCATGCTTGTACTAATCGCCTACAACAATGACAGATCAGGGGCCATCTCAATCGGAGAGAAAACTCCAATCTCATACGGAGTCGGCAGTGAGACGACGGGACCCCAAGATTTCCCATTTGAAGAACGAGTACAACAAGCTGTGCGAGGCTATCATGAAGGAGATCCGCGCTGGCCGCGCTCCGCGCAAGGCTGTAGCTCCGGAACGTATTCCTTCGGACAGCCTGTACAAGCTAGACGTAGACGATCCCATTTGGCAAGACGTCGGCTTGGGGGACGACGAGGACACCAACAGGGACCCTCCGCCCTGGCTGTGCGACGACGATGTCCGCAGCGGTATACGGGCCATGTTGCAGCTCGAACGCACGGAGGAGGAGGATGTTATCCTGAAGAAGGAGCGACGGTCGATGCGGATTTGGTTCATCGAGGAATGGAAGATCTTAAATGCGGCGATGGGCGACGCAGGTACGTGTTTTTTCGACGGTGCAACGCTGCGCCCGCTGATTGTCTGCACGTTAGATGGCGAGGAGGATCGCTACCAGTTCTACCTCCGACGCGAACGCCTAGTGCGTCTATGTGCGACGTGGCGGAAATATATCCCTGACGCGGAGGGGGATGCAGCGTGGGGTCCGACGGAGGAAGAACTGGTGGCATGTCTGATCCAACGTCGTACTAGCGCCCGAGGCGAGGACGGCTTCGACGCAGGACATGACACGGACAACGGGGAAGAACTGGAGGACTTTGAAACGCTGGACGCGCTGGACAACGCGGACGTATACTGCGAGCTTTACAATCGCATGGACGGTGATAGCACCGACGATGGTAGCACCGACGACGGCAGCGAGTCCGATTAATTGTATATTAGAAGTGCATTACACCTTGTTTCTATGAGTAGGGAAGATCTTATACGATACATACAGGTAGACTACACTGTAACTGGAATTTGTGAATGCACTTGATGGTTTTACCACTTAATTTCTTACTGATCATCTACAGGGATGGACGGCAGCCGAGTGAGGTGCATCAAGCTAATGGCGCCATTGTCTTGTACTGTGGCCTTCCAGAGCCAGAAATGGAGATGCGTATGTGGACGATTTTACCGCGCGAATGCCCCCGCTGACATTCCCATTGGGTAGGGACTTCGCCACCAAAGGACGCTAATTCTTTCATTGTATTAGATTCCGCCAGAAATGGAAATACGTATGTGGAGATTATACCGCACGAATACGCCCGCTGACATTCCCATTGTGTAGACTTTGCCACCAAAGGACGGTGATTCTTTCATTATTGAAGATTGGCCACCGACCCGAAAGCGGAAATCGGCGCAGACTTAAAGGCGGGATAGGGCTCTGCGCCTTGCACTCCCACTCCCCACACTCCCCACTCCCCACACTCCCGCTCCCCACTTCGATGCCTGCCGCTCGCCGCCAACGCCGCCCACGCCCACGCCTTACGCCCAAGCCCAAGGCAGGGTCCCGACCTTTGCCACGGATTACCGACCCCTATGCCCCGCGGGACGCGGACGAGCCACTTTGCGAAACGCCTGCGGAGAAAAGGGAAGAAGAGAGGTTGAGGATCGCTGCCAACAAGAACGTGTGTCGCCTTGCGAAAATACACGGTGGGTGGCAGGCGCGACAGTATGAATATCTTGCTAACGCGGATCAGCAGAACGCACCAAGGCAGCAAACATGTCAATCGCAAACGTGGCGGAGCGGGCCGAAGCCAATTGGGACACCGATGTGGCTCACCACCTCGCGTGTACGTCTGTTTATTCAGCTTGTTTCCTCGATCGATGGCTGACATTGGGCTAGTAACCAAGTATGAAGACCTCTACGGCAAGTTTGTGCCTGACGCCGAGAACAAGGCCTGGTTCGCGTGCAAGAGGCCTCGCATCCAGGAGTTGGAGAGTCTGCGCCCCGTCGCTGGTGAGTTCCGTCTTGTCGTCGCAGCCCTGCCGGCGTTGACGTTGACGTCTGCTTTCCCATCTAGCGGACATCGATCGCCATGATCACATACTCATGGTGATTTACCTCAACCGTGGTACATTCTTTGAGCTGTCTACGGCAGTTTTGGCGGCGCTGACGATGCTATAGCCGAGGCGTTCGAGGAGGACTTCGGCCACCAATTATCTGGGCACGACGGGTTCGACGAGCATTTCAATGAAATGGCCGTCCACGCGAGGTACGCCGCTCGACTTCGACGGTACAACAAGAACGACCTTGCTGCGATGGTCATCGAGGCCGCGCGCCCCCAGACGTTCGCTGTCTGGAATCCATATCCCGAAGGTCACGACAGGCGTGTGGACTTTGACGCGAAACGTGCGTATTCATTGATCGTCGGCTTCTTGATACTAACCGCTTTTTGTAGTTCGTCGCTATGCGGCTGACCTCCTCGAGCCCGCCGTCTTTGCCGCTCTGCCTCCCAACCCGGTCTATGGCTTTCCCTTCACCATCAAGAACGTCTTTGCGAACCGAGAGCCCGAGCTAGTTTTTCTCGGTTATTATAAATGTACGTGCTTACTGTTTGATTGGTCACATAAACTGATTGAGCTCTAACTCCAGTTCGTTACCTCGAAAAACAGCTCCACACGCTCGCGATCCACCATTGGGAAGACCTCAATGACTGCGTCGGCGAGAAACGCGGGGCCGTGGGTTTCCCTTTTGTACCCAGGCCCCCATTGTGGTAGATTTCACACTAGTTACTTTGTATGTACACGCGACGAATAAATTACCTTGTTCAATTTTTTGGGGCAAAATTCGTAGTAGATGTTGTTAAATTTCGTACCAAGTCCTAATGATTTGTGAGTTAGTATGATGGATACTTTTTTTTTTGAAGCTCACACTAAAGCTGGAATTAATACTATGGCTTAGACTTGGATGTATAATGGCCTTGTATAATGGTCTTGTAGCCGAGTGGATAGCGGCGCAAGTATTATGTCGCATGACATAAGCTGGTAATCCTTGGTTCGAATCCCAGCAGGGCCTTCTTTTGGCGATAGTCTTTTTCCTTCCTACCTGAAGAAAACTTATGGTAGAGTCACAGCACTTTTCTAATTGTGAAGATATTATTAATCTCGTTAATATAATATGGAACCTGCCGGATTCGGACGCCGGCGGTAGTGGTCCCAAACGGGAAATACCGTCTGACGTGGGAGACATTCCGAATTGGGTCAGGAGGAGTCGGAGTGCCCAAAATGTACTGTCTACTTATTGCTGTAGCCGTGCCATGGTAGTATATCTTTTGTATGTAGGTACATGAAATTAATATAAGGTACCCATATGTCTGGGACTGGGAAGAGGGGAAAAAAATCACAGAGTGAGGAATTTTTTTTTTTTTTTGAGTGTAAATCTGGGTGGGAGCTCCCAGCTAGGCTGGGTGCACCCAGTCAGTATAGGAATATGCCTGGGTGCACCCAGGCAATATAGAAATATATCTGGGTGCACCCAGGCAATATATGGATATATGCGGGTGCACCCAGCGAATATGTGAATATGTGTGGGTGCACCCAGCCAAAATAGAAATATAGCTGGGTGCACCCGGCCAAATATTGAATAGGCTGGGAGCACCCAGCCCAAAATGAGGGATGCGGTGGGAGCACCCGGTGTCGTAACTGGGTGCTCCCAGGCGTGGAGGGCAGGGTGCTCCCAGGGATGCTGGGAGCACCCAGGTGCGGTGAGCAGGATGCTCCCAGGGTGAGTGGGAGCTCCCACGCCTGGTGAAGAGGGTGCTCCCAGGGTGGGCATGGGTGCTCCCACGACAACATCAGTGGGTGCTCCCACCGAGTATCCGGATGCTCCCAGGTGCAGACACAGCATGTTGAGGTAGGTGAAGGTGTGGACAAGCCAGGAGCACCAAATGGGAAACTTTTATGTACAATATCAGCTTGGCGGTTGAGATATGACGGAGCACGGGAATTGCAGAGAACATTAGAAGGATTATGTAGCCTATTAGCTATGAACCAAAAAAGCAACTAAATGGTTGCGCAACCTATGGAACAGCCCGCACCAGGCCCGAAAAGCAAATTTTGTGGCTGGCCCGCAGGCACTAATATATACTGTGGAATGGGCAGTAGGACAACCCTAGATTAGATGTACTGGAGAGCCAGTGAACAGGCCTGAAAAAACCAAAATTTCCTGGCCCGCGCTATGCGCGGGGTGCCCAATATATATACCATGCTGCAGTGTATCCTGTGGGCCCTAAATACCCGATTTTTTGGGGCCCACGCTACGCGCGGGACCTGCCTGTATACAGCCATGGCACAAGGCCAACCAGCGGGCAGCACCAGGTGCCAGAAATGCGATTTTTTTCCGGCCCGCGCTGCGCACGGGAAAAGCGTGACGTGACACATCCTGCTGGATACACCCACCCCAGACGCTGGGAGCTCCCAGCCATCTGGGAGCTCCCAGCCATCTGGGAGCCCCCCTATAGGGAGCCCCCTCTTAGGGTAGTCATTCACCAAGTAGAGATGTACCTAACAAGGGGCCCAGATATGTCTGCCTGAAGTGCGATTCACGAAAATTCTATATATTAGGTAATCCGTGGTTTGGACCATTTTCATGCCAAATACCATCTTGCATGTCCAGGGCATGTCCTAATGACCTAATATTTTGGGATGGATAACATATATGCCTAAAAAAACATGTGATAGAGCCAGAATTGTATAGAATCTTGATATAAATGTGATACTTGCAATATTTCTGAATGCCAAGATTGCTAAATGTATCCAATGGAGCTACAAGGAATGTAACTAAAATATCCCCAATTCCGGCTCTATCAAGTGTTTGACCAAGTATATAAGTTGTCCCTCCCAAGATATTAGGTCATTAGGACATGTCTTGGACATGCAAAATGGTATTTGGTACAAAAATGGTCCGAAAGCACAGATTATCTAATATGTACAAGGGGCTGGTCGGCCGCTTCGCGGCCTCCCATCCCCTTTGGCAAAATTATTATTTGGTTTTAGATTTGTGTACTGTTATCCGATTAATATTGCTCTCTTACGCTGCATTAGAAGGCACCTGTTCGCCGCGGCCGCCTTTGTTTCAGTGCGGTGGGAGAGATCCGTCAATGTTAGCGCCGGGGCAGTGTCTGTCAAACTATGCTAGAAGGGCGACGTCAGATGCCAAGATGCCGAGTGATTGATTGCCCGTGGGCCGGCGGGAATGCGAGAGCACGATCAAGAGCGGCGGGCTGCCATGGCGGACGCCATCAGCGGAGTTTGAAGCGGAGTGGCTTCAGACAGACGTGCATAATCTTATAAAGAGAGTGAATACTTTCATGAATCGCTTTCTATCACTAATTGCACATGAATTAGCCCGACAGAACTACCCAGGTTCCATCCAAATCGGTGTAGAACTGGTTGAGCTTTTAACAATTCTTCGAAAAAAGCCCAAAACAAGAAATTTTTGACCGCGCCTTCGGTTCCGACATTAGCTGTAATTTAGGTGTTCAAGTGGTCAAAGGAAAGGTATCCATAGCATATAAGTGACGCATGTATGTAGTACAGGCCCCAGCTGTTTTTTAACGCGACCACGCCGGAATATACCGACCTACACACCTATCAACGGGACAGGCCCGAATGGCCGACACTAAGCGAGCTGGGATTAAGCGAAGTTGGAGCATGAAATCGGGGCACCAAGTTGGCGTCCAAGTTGCATGTCAAATCGTGGGGTTAGGCACGATTTGACATCCAACTCGAGTCACGAACTATTTCAGGACCCAACTTGATCTCAAGTTGGAGACGAAGTTGTGACCCGAGTTGGGCCTCAAATCGGGATGTCTGAAACACCCTAATATACTGTACAATACAAGGAAAATTTCTATAGTAAACAGTTTAGGTACTTGTAGTTGTAGGTACAATAACAGTGGCGAATAAGCACCCAAGTTGGTGGATTGTGGGGGTCTCGATTTCGAGTCTCAGCATTTCCGGCGGTCGAGCTTGTATCTCTAGCTCTGATAGATGCAATTTACCGGGGAAGGCTTATATGGTCACAGCTGAGATAGAATAAGTTGCTCGTGAAAGCTAGATACAGATATGACCGCCGGGAACACTTTTGCGCCAACTTGAAATAGAGCGGAGCCCCTCGGTTGTGGGATCATATTCCATCATTTCCGGGGTAGATAAGGTAGGTAAGGGATAATTCTATTCAGAAGCCCGGTTGCAGGCAGGAACCCACCATTTAAAAATAGATTCTATGCGGAAATCCGGTTTCTGCATTTCGGCGACGCCGGAATATGGTCCAATTTGGCTCAGACATCCGGTTTAAACTCGTTGAAATTCTACTCTGTTCAGTCTTCAATTGATTCCCGCTACCGTAAGGTACGGGTTCTTATAGGGCGCCCTAACTTCAGCCACTTGCAGAGCATCACATTTTCGTCAGCCGATTTTGCGTAATCCCCAAAATCTTCGCCCGATGGCGGACAGCTCCGTCGGATCACCCCAACCATCACCATTGGAGCGACACGTCACAACCTCTTGCTCTCAACTTCCATGGCGCTTTCCTTCCGCTACCTTCTGCAATATACCGCTCTCCTCTTCCGTCGACCCGTCTTCCGAAGCCTCACTGCTGTCTCTAGACTGGCTGCTGTCTACTGGGGTTTCGGCTTCTCATTCTGCAGCCTTGGGCCTTTCGTTCTACCATGTGGTGGCTCGTGTACTCCATGAACATGAAACTGGGAGTGTCTTCGGGTCTCCCATATGACCTTGTTCTCGGCCGTGGCTGGTTGTTCTTCTGCCGTCATACTCTTCCCCACGCGTCCTTTGTTCTCTCTTTCAGCACTGTTGCACCGGGAATGCCAAGTAAGTACCGCATCGGTTGTCATTTAGCTTCATTTACTTGATTCCCGCTACCGTAAGGTACGGGTCTTAGGGAGCCCTAACTTCAGCCACTTGCAGAGCATCACATTTTCGTCATCTGTTTTCACCTCAGCACTGATCCCTCTGCCAAAATTTGTGGGCGGCACAAAAGCCGAACCATTCTCAACGCTCACTCATAGTCGATTTTGCGTAATCCCCAAAATTCTCGCCCGATGTCGCACGGACGCGTCAAATCACCCCAACCATCACTTAATCCCATCATTCCTCGCTTGCTCTGTACTCCCATGTCGCCCCTCGCACTACTTTCTGTGATGCTCTTGCTCTTTGATCTCTGCTCCAAACTTTTTCTGCTGTCTTCTGGCCGACTTCTACCTCTGCACAATCCTCCTCAACCCCAGTCAAAATCGTTTCCGGATCTGACAAAAGATGCCGGGATCTGCCCGGAGTTAGTGCAACCCTGCCCTCGTCTGCCTCGGTCTGTCGCCATCTGCTTCTTGACCTAGACTGTTCGAATTTTGCTAAAACAACTGCAGAACATCGGTTCAGATTCTACTCATGACGAATGTATCCGCGGGCTCGTATCAACTCATCGAAACGTGTGCTAGCTTTCTGCTCTACCACGTCGTATCCTCCATGCTGAACCCTCGACACCCTGAGCCCACCTGTCTACGTGCTCTCGGAGGTCTGGTTTCCATTTACAAACCACATGCCACACCTTTCCTTCGTCTATCCCACTCGACGCGACGGTTGCGCCGGGTGCGCTCAGGGGCGGGGCGGGCTGAAGGCGTATGGCGGCCGCATCCCTGACTTGAATCCAACAGTTAATCGGAGGCAATGGCTCATCACTGCTTTCAGGGTCTGTGCCATCGCGCTCCCGGTTTCTTGTTCGCTGTGTACCGCGATGGTCAGTTTTTTTTCCCCCCTTAATTCCAACTTCATCGCAAATTTTCAGAGTATGCTTTTGATTACCTCGCCGTCTCTCTACGACCAATGTGCATCTCCCCACACCTTTGGTTCTATATATTTCCTGCCTGTGGCGAAGTAGATTAAGCTCTCCCGGATCGTTCATCGAATAGCAACAAGGTCACTATTATCGCCCTGGTAATGTATTCTGCAGCCCAAAGGTGCACCCCTTTCTTTTACAGAACACCGTAAAATAACTGATCG